TTGATACGCTCGCTCAAGTAAAACATTTGCTTGAGAAAGGTCGACGTCTGGCCGTTGAAGAGCTTTCGTAACCAGGTTCGTTGTCGTCAGAACCTTCGTGTGCATAACAACTTGAAGAACAAATTCGAAATTTTCCATCTCTTTACGTATATAAATCGCTTCATTTCGCTCAGTTTTAGAATTACTGATGAGGATGATTTTAGACAGCGCTTTCAAAATATCACAGTACCTGAATGCGACAGCTTGTAAAGAATCGTTCCGGGATGACCATCGAGTTGGACAGAGTCGTTTGAGTTTCAACAGAGAATTTTTAGAAAGGAAAGCCGATAATAACTCCCATCTTTTGATACTGTTTGCAAAAAAAACGTAAATTTGCTCAATTAACTCCCAGAATCTTTGGACTTCAGGTATTGCACCCGTCGAGGCATCATTGAGAACGAGATTGAGTCTATGCTCTGCGCAATGAACGTAAATGGCTTTTTTTTCTCTATCAAGAATTTTCTTCTGAACCCCGTTGTAAATTCCACTCATTGTAGCAGCTCCATCGTATCCTTGTCCCCGACATTTTGAAAGTTTGATTTCCCTTTTTTCCAGTCCATCAACAATTTTTGATTCCAGTCCATTAGCCGTTTGATCATCGACTTTTTCGAATCCTAAGAAAGATTCGGTGATTTTGACATCAACTGGTTTCCCGTTTTCATCTTTGATAATTTGCACGTATCTGAAAATTTGACTCATTTGATCAATTTTAGCTATATCTTGAGTTGTATCGGTTATGATGGAAAAGAATGGCGCTTCTTGAATATTCTTGACGATTTCATTTTCCACAGTCTTAGATAGCAGGCCGATGATCTCATTTTGGATTTGAGGGCTCAAGTATCGAATGGAATTCTCTGGTTTTGTAATGAGTTCTTTCAAAACAGGGTTATATACCGCCAGCAATTCAACAATTGACAAAAAGTTTCCATTATTTCCAGAATCACCAATGACCTCGAAATGGAAGGTTGCATGTAGCCAGGGTAAGAATTATATTTATAATTCTGTCGAGAACTTTGTTTTCCTTTTTTGAGCACCACTTGGATGAACGCGTTTATTCGAGCTCATGTTTGATTATTTTATCTGTAATAGGATAATTTTTCATCAGATATGCGTTCCGAAGGTAATTTCTTTTTTCATATTATATAGCGTCACAGTGCACTAATATGTTATGGCCGTATTACAGCCGGCAATGCTTCTTGCAGCAATTTTTCTTGCAGCAATTATTCTTGCCATCAAGTTTTCAAGGCCTTATTGCCTGTTGTTTTACAGTCAGCAACGGCAAGACAACTTGCTGTTTATTACCGTGCTACCAACCGAAGAAAAATATACGATTTTGTAAACACCAAGTTTATTTGTTATTTAGTAGAGATATTTAAAAATTAATCAGTAAAATGGATACTAGAACTTTGAACAAAATGCCAATCATAAAACAAATAACCTTAAACTGTTTAAGTCAAACAGCGTCTCTTTAGGGAATTTGTAGTAGGGTTGGTAACATAAAAGTTACCATATTTCACCCCAGAATTGCCGTAAAACGGCAATAAAAATCCATCCGGACCGATTTTCGGCAATTGCAAGAGATTCGTCAAAATGTCTCAACCGCGCATGCCTATGGCAATTTTCATTGCAATTGCCGAAAGAATTGCCGGCTGTAATACGGCCTTTATATTTGTATACTAGCACTAAATAAATTATCTTATCTTATCTTATCTTATCTTATCTTATCATAGATTTTAGTATTATATTGATATAATTTATACTTTTCAATTTTCTCGGAGTAATTAAATATTAAAACATATATTTAACGTTACGCAAAAATTTTCATTCGCAAATAAAACTAAATGACGTGAAGGTCACAACCATGAAATGACGTATTATTTTCATGATATACATATATGTTAAGGTTACAGCCACGACAGTCACTTACCAGATGAATGATTTACTCCAGAATCAACCATGAAATAAGCGCCTCAAAAAACAATTCACGTTTCAACTCAAACTCCGTAAAACTTTATTCAGACATACGACAGAAATCGAGCAATCAAGATTGTTTTCGAAAATTTTGTTTTGATTCAATATTGTCACTTGAAATTCAGTGCGAGAAACTTTCAAAACCTTGAGCGAGAAAAGGAAGGTTGGCCATAATGAAACATGCGCATCCGCTATGGCGCGAAAATTAAAAATTAAGAATACAAGAGACAAATAATATGATCCAGGTTACGAATATAGAAATGACCAAAAGATTTGATATTTTCATATGAAAAATTTTTTTTTATATAATTATACACAACGAATTTTTTCATATAATTATATACAACATTTTTTTGTTTACCACTTTCGGAGGCCCCCTGATGCTCGGGGCCCCGGACAATCTGACCCCTAAGACCCCTGGTAGTTACGCCACTGGTTTAAGCCTTAAACTTTACAATTTCTACCCCAATTATATATAGATAGATCAATATCATCTTTAAGACTTAAAACAAGACTAACCTGAATAAAAAAAAGAAAATGTAGATAGAACACTATAATTCTCAGGTGACGATCTGTCAACTGTCACCCGAATTTAACCTCACTTTTTCCCAATTTATAACAAAGCTAACTTCAGCCCGTCAATAAAACGCCATAAAGTCACAGCTCGTCAATGTAGGAGTAGATAAAAAATATTGCCGCTGAGATAAAATGCGTAACTATGGAATGCTGGCATTTTATTGGTTCTAATTTTAATGAATTGTATTGTCACCCATAATATAACAAGTGGTATGATTATCATCGATGATATTTTTAAATTGAAACCGAGCTGCAGATTTCACGAGTCCGCAGGAAATTACCTTAATTTCATTATCGTTTACACCAACCCATCGATCTTTTAGAGTTTATAATTCATTATTTTATTGATATATATCAAACACAGAATTTAAATGACAACAAATGTTAAATGAAGAAAAGTGTCAAAATCCTTAGTACCGTGTAAACAAGATGATAAAAAATATTGCCGCTGAGATAAAATGCGTAACTATGGAATGCTGGCATTTTATTGGTTCTAATATTAATGAATAATTCATTTATCGTAATAAAAGATATGCTATAAAAGACCGTGTTGTACAATCAATTTTGTATAAATCAAACGAACAGTAATGAAAATACACCGCTTCAAAGTTGTCAAAAATGACCACTTTTCAGCAAAATAATCAAAAAAGGGCACTTTTTACTGACTTTGAAGCGCTGTATCTTCATTACTGTTCGTTTAATTTATACAAAATTTCTTTCACAGTATATTTTTGATTTATTTAAAAAAAATTCCCTAAATGTTATTTTTCGAACGTTTATTTTACTATTAAATAAAAGGCCTTTAAAAATATTTTCTTAAAAAACCCTAGAATTTTTGTACTTATTATGCGTTAATATTGTCGCGCAGTGTTTAATTTGTATCTATTTTCTTTTCTAATGATTTGCGAACGATTTTCACACAGTGGAGCAATTTGCATTTTTTCCTATTAATTCGACTAGTAAATAACTACTTGCTTAAACAGTTATATCTCCATTGTAGTCAGTACTTGGAATAACCAGTTGAATAATCCTCGAAGTCAGTATAAGGGAAATATACAACCTAGCACTGAAACGGGCCCTAACTTCCAAGAGGAATATGTAGACTACGTCTATGAAGGACAAGCCGCTTTATTGAACAAACAACTTCCAACGGTAAACAGAAATCCTATATGTCTGTAGTAATACTAACGTCCAGATTTAGGTCGGCATAATTGTCCCCTGAACACCAAAAGGTCTATCCCCCCGTCTCTATCTCCTTGTGATCCTTATGGGCGTATAGCAACGGCCCGGCGAAACCGGGAGAGGCTATTCAAACTATTCGCATGTCGCTCTCAAGCCCCAAATAGGATACAGTACCGGACATTAGCACCGAGCATACTCGGGTGAAGCAGTGCAGTTGCTGGTGGCGAAAAAAAATCGGCGTAGGGTAACGAAAGCTTGTGCGGGGCGGGGAGAGATGAGGCAATGGGGTCAGTTATATGACTCCTACACTCATATTCATACTCATAACAATATATATATTATCCGTTTTAAATTCAAATAAAAAAAATGATACAATATTTTTTCTATTTAATATATATCACAAAAGGGAAGACCCCCTTATCTTCTCTGCAATCCAATATGTGTAACTCCTTAAAAGCAACACACAAAAGTTTTTCTCGATTGTCCACAAATCTCATTTCTGCACAGAAAGTACTGTTTTGGGAATGGTTACCAAAAAAATCTAGTAAATTGCGGACTGCTTTTGAGTAAACTTAAAAATGTTTGTAAAAAATACTAGAAAAATATAACAAAAACAACAACAAAATAAAGACTAGGATTGATTAATTAGATTTGCGGTTAAGAACAAGAAATATACACAATTAATTAATTAATTTAACATGAATAAACGATAACTAACAAAATCCACAAGATAAGATAAGAAATACCGCGCGAATGGCATAAAGCATATCCGAAAACATAGAAAAAGAAATAAGAGGAGTTACTAATAATGTTTGGTAATCATTTTTAAACTTTTAGTATCGAATACCACATAAAAAGTAATAATTTGTTAACTTAATTATGACACCTTACTATAAAATAAAATATCAATCCTTAACATTTTGGATTCATTATTTTTAACAATTAATACCAAGGGAATATTAATAGTTTGTAATATGTTTAGTAATGGTTATAATACAGTCTAATAATAATACAAAATATGTTCAGGTTTTAGAAATAAAGTAATTAGTGCTTAATATAAGTTTAAAGTATTTTTTCCAAAGTTATAGCAATAAGTAGATACTTAATTTAAAAATTCCCTTTTCTCCGCGTGGCGGTAACAACCTTAAAGTTGTTTTTTAATTGGTTGAAGGCTATATTTTAATATACATAATATTATTATTATTGTTACCATACATTTATTTTAAACTTACCCAAAAGTTAAAATAGAAAACCACCCAGCTTTCTCACGTGGGTGTGTATTTTTATTTATTTTATTTACACGATTATCCATTACCAAAATTATTTTTGGACTACCTATATAAAATCTTAAAAGCAAACAAACACCTTAAACATAATAGAAAACCAAAAGTTACCAACTTATATTTGGACCGATAATTTTAGATTTACATATATGTAAATCAAATAATTTTACTAATAACTAACAGATATAAATATATACAGGGTGTACCAAAAATGGCACACTGTTGACTTATTGAGATACAATTCAAATAATGTGTAAAATATATAGCTAAAATAATTTGTGTGGTAACATTGACAAATTTCTAAATACAATACAGCATTATGAAATTGGTCAAATATTGTATCCAGTTAAGCTTAAGCCTTAAGTTAAATTAATTAATTATTTTTTATATATTTGTAAACCATCTCCATAGTTTTAACAATCTTATGTATTTATAAACAAATATACAATAATTTATTGTCTTTTGTGTGATAATTTAAGAAGTTTTGAAGCAGGTTTATTATTTAAATCTATAAAACCATTGGTTATTAGTACTAATTACTAGTTATTATTAGCCTAAAATACTTTAAATAAAATTTATTTATTCACGATTGGCATTTAAATATTTAAACAATTTTAGGTGATAAGCACACGGTAGTGTTAATAATTTTAATTACCTTTCTAGAATATAAACACTATTTTGTGTCAGAAAACTCAACTTTTTTGCCTAATCTAAAAACGAATCTTGTTTTAAATTATAGAAATTTATGATTATCTTAACAATTTTATTTATCCTGTAAAAATTTTTTATTATATTTAAATGGATTTTTTTTTCATTTCAATTATTATATACACCTCAAAATTAAATAAATTTATAAAATGTAAAATTAACATAGCAAATTTTGTGGTCGATTAGGTAGGTATAAGTAATTTATATTAAAATATTAGTTCTGTGGGAGAAATAAATATTTACCTATATAAATTAAAAATTAATAATATCTTGTCTTAAAAGTCGTTAACGTTCTTTACAATATTAACGATCCATTTTCCTATAAACCCAAATTTATTATTATTTATGTTTATAACTATATATATATATATATATATATATATATATATATATATATATATATATATATATATATATACATATACGGTGCTGTTCTGAGAGGTGATTTTTGGACTTTCTGTGAAACCTATTTTTTTTATATTCTTGTTAATTAGGTCATAACTAAAATTTTAAGAGCAAAATAAAAAAAATTTGACGGTTAATTTTGTTTTAATTGGATGTTTATTAAAAATACGTATGCACACTTTCAATTCTCCAATTAAAACTTGCGATTTTTTTTAAATATTATCATAAATTTAAATCAGATTAAAGATTAGTTAATTTCCTAAAAAAAGGTCTATACATTTTTTATATCTTTTACTGTTTTGTTGTAATACACGTTTAAAGTTTTAATTTAAGGTTAAATGTATAGTATACATTTATTAAACAATAATTCTAAGGGTGCCACATTTTATTTAGGGCCGATTTATTCATTTTTGATTTATTTGACGAATAATTTCTTTGGATACTAGATATTGCCAAGACATGAAAATTATCGGCCCGATAAACTTTACTAAAGATGAATAAACCGGTCCACATAGGAGTATTTGTATACTAAAACCGGTCCAATGTCGGAAATCACAACATTGCAAATTCTCGGCAACAACGTCTATCTGTCAAAGTTAAGACGTTAAGTGACCAAATAATGCGGTTCCTTTTGTTAACTAACGCGATAAGGGCTGTACATTTAGCCGTCATCCGAGCGCTTAGCCGATTACAAGTATAAACTTTTAAGTGATTCTAAGAAACAGTGACTTTTTCTAGTTAAGTTTGACTACTTTTTGATTGAACTGAGGTAATTTTCAAAATGGATAACGTTGAACCAGGTATGTACTATTAAAATAACTACTTTAAGTAGTAAATACTGCCTCAGTTTTTTTATTATCTGCATGTTTTCATGTTTAATTTAAAAATCCCTTTTTATTCAAGAATTTTAGATTAAAAAGTTATTTCGTTAATCTGCCGCCCATTACCGGGCTTTGATTTATTTTTTATTTTATAATATTACCTTTCTACTCATCAAATAACCAAAAACTAGGTGCCAGTAAGTGCCATAAGTGCCATAAACCCCTCAAAATTATTCAAATATTATACTTTAACCTATTTTTGTTAAGAAAAACCATGACACGATTGTCAGCTACTTTTTTATTTTTTTAGGGCCTTCAAATCAAAAGATAGTAACTCGGGGATATATATTCGAAAAGATAAAGCAATATGAAGAAAAAAACTTAATGAAAAAGATGGATTTATTTCAAAATGAAATAATAAATAGGCCAGATTTTCCCGCAGAGCAAAAAGACGAATTTGCAAGAACATTTTTTAGATTTAAAGCCGAAATGAAGTCTAAATGGCAAGCTGCTAAAAGAACAGAGAAAGTATTTATAGCTAAAAACAGAAACTGGCTACAAGGTACTTTAAAAATACCTATTAAGGAGGCTTGTAACGTAGCTGTTAGGCGCCCACAAAAATCTTTCGCAGACTTGACAGATCGTAGTAAACGCCGTAAAACATCAGCTCTAAGGACGAGTAATGATGCCCAAGAACTGCTATATGCTGGACAGATGCTACTTCGAGAACAGGGGAATTCAGGTGGAGCAAACGTTGTTAAAGACATAATAACTTCTCCGACTCGAGGTGACAAATATAAAATAGCATACAAAAACAACGATCCTTCTCGAGCATTAAAAACAATGCAACTAACGCCAACAGAAGCTTTATCGGTGTTTGTGGAAGCGTCTTTAAGCAGAAGACAATATGAAGTTATTCGAGAAGCTTTCAAGGATCGTTATCCTTGTTATAGTATTTTGCAAAAAGCAAAAAAAAAATGTTATCCGGCAAAACAATATTATAGCATTAAAGAAACATGTGCAGAAATAGATTTGCAAGCATTAGTAGATCATACTGTAGAGCGGCTTATGCTTTCCTTAAGCAATGTATTGGAAGTTTTGACAAGTGAAGAATTGGCTTCACTTGAACTTATGTACAAGTGGGGCTGTGATGGTTCTCAACAAGTACAATACAAGCAAAAATTTCAAAATAGCAGTGATTCTGATGCAAACATTTTTCAGTCTTCTCTGGTTCCTTTAAGACTTATTTGTATCTTAAACAATAAAGTCATTTGGAAAAATCCAACTCCATCTTCGCCTAAATTTTGTCGTCCTATGAGGATAAGATTCATACACGAGACATCGGACATAACAAAAGAAGAAATTAATTATTACAAAAGTAAAATCGCGTCACTATTACCTACGAAGATAGACAAAGAAATAGTCGTTAAGCACAAAATGTTTTTGACTATGGTGGATGGCAAAGTGTGCAATGCAGCAACTGAAACTAAATCGACTATGAGATGTTACATTTGTCAAGCTACATCGAAGCAGTTTAACGATTTATCAAGACACAATAATGTAAATATTGAAAATTTATCATTGGGTTTATCGATTTTACATGCTCGAATAAGGTTTTTTGAAACCTTACTACATCTGTCTTATAGAATTCCGGTTGAGAAATGGCAAATACGATCAGCGGAAGATAAAAACATTATAAAGGAAAGAAAAGAAATGATACAAGAACGATTTAGAACAGAACTTGGACTCATTGTTGATGTACCGAAAGCCCAAGCTGGCAACAGCAATGATGGCAATACAAGCCGAAGATTTTTTGCTAATCTTAAAACATCCGCATCAATCACAGGTGTTAATTACAACCTTATGGAAAGATTGGCTGTAGTTTTGGAAGTTATTTCTAGTGGTCACGAAATAAATATTGAAAAATTTAAAAATTATTGTTTAGATACAGTAAAACTATATGTGGAATTATATCCATGGCACCCAATGTCCCCTACAGTCCACAAGGTACTAGTTCATGGGCCTATGATTATCGAGCATGCCTTACTTCCGATTGGAGCACTATCAGAAGAGGCCGCGGAAGCGCGAAATAAACATTTTCGTCAATTTAGAGAAAGTTTCTCAAGAAAGTTTTCTCGGGAGCAATGCAATACTGACATCATTAATAGATTATTGCTAACATCCGACCCATATTTAAGTTGCAATAGTAAAAATAAATCAAAAAAATCAGAACCTTTCAGCAAGACTACTTTAGAAATGTTGCTTCCAGGAAAAGTTACCCAAGAAGTTGAAAGTGACGAAGAGGGTTGGGATTCCTCAGATTAATAATTTATTTATTAAAATTATACAATTAGAGTAAGTATAATTTTAATAAATACATTATTAAAATGTGAACTTTAAAATATGTAAAATATGTTTCATTTACCAAAAATGTTCCTTTTTTTATTGTTGAGAGTGTATATTTTTAAGGGATATAAATTTTTTTGGTTGAAAATCTTTTCTTATGCTATACTGTATTAAATCAGAGCAACATGGACACAAATTAAAACAAATATAATTGTGTCCGCGTTTTTTGCTTAGATCAATTTCATGAATTTCTTCGTAACTTTTACTACAATTTTTCATTTTTGTTTATAAAAAACACTTTAAAAAACTAAACAAAAATTATAGAATACGTATACTAAAAATGACAATTCAAACGTCAAATAAATTTTTAATAGATCTAAGTTTCATGGCAACCTTTAAGGATATATTAATTAAGGAAACATAAATGTATACGTCAAAGGTTAGATAAAAAGTTTGAACGTTTATTGCAACAAAACAGTAAAATATATAAAAAAAAATTGTATAAACCTTTTTTTTAGTTATGCAAATATTAAATATTTAAATTAAATCGCTAGTTTTAATTGGATAATTGAAAGAGTGCATAATAATTTTAATAAACAGCCAATTAAAACAATTCAAACCGTAAATTTTTTTTATTTTGCTCTTAAAATTTTAGTTATGACCTAATTAACAAGAATATAAAAAAAAATTAGGTTTCACAGAAAGTCCAAAAATCACCTCTCAGAACAGCACCGAGATATATAATATAACTACGTGCAAAACAAATAAATTTAGACCAGGCATAAAACAAAACCGCGACATTGGCGATGAAAGTAAAAATTACCTGAGAGATTACAAAAAAATATT